CACGCAGACTAGTCTCAGCTGGTTCATTGACCGGTGTGCTAAAAAATGTAAATGTTAAAATTGTTTTTTAGTGTCATAAACACTTTTGTACTGTCACTCACCATACCGAGTCGAAGGACGGTGCTTGGTCGCATTTGAAAGGGACCCATATTGTTACAATAATGAAGCTTATACCCCGGAGCTAATAATACTGTCAGTCGGGATGTCTATCGCTGTACATGCCGGCCGGTCGACTGTGCTTCTGCAACATCTTTTTGACGGCGCTTCAAATTCGTCCAGTTAAATTGTCAATTTCATTCCGTATTTTATGTTAACGGGGGTTTATACCTAAGCCCAATGTATTTGTAAATGTTATTTTAACAGTATTGCTCAAATAACGCGTAGTTGAGATTTGAAAACCTTGTTGTATATACCAAATATCTAGACAAGCATTCATACTAAAGTCAATTTATTCCATTCCATTCTTTGTTGTCAAACTCTAAACATTTTTGAATGAGCTAAATTATGTGTTTAATAAAACCATTTACTTAGTTCGCTCACCTCAATAATCCTACTATTTTCCATGCATTAAATAATTAACATTGATGTTCTCTTGATGCATTGTAATAATTATAGTCTTTATTGAAGTCATATCCTAAAAAAACAAAAGAATAAATGTGGATGTGCATCTTTTTTGAAAATCATATTGACCAGAAATTTTGTTTTAGCTATGACAGAATGTTCTCCACATTGGAGGATTTGTGACAGTGTATGAGCAAACATCCAACAAAAGAATGTAAAAATGGCCTACTTTTACAACACCATGGTTTATTGTTTATTATATTACTGGTATATTATTATATATATGGCTTATTATTCTAGCTCCTCATGTTCACTGATGATGACTTATATGGAGAAAACGACATGAGACCTGACAATCTAAGGCCATTAGGACCAATTATAACTCTCACAAGTTTCATTTATGCTAATTGTTTCAATACCATATTTAAAAAGATTATGATGTACTATTGTCCATATATGGACATTGTATGACATCGTTTCTGATACAGTACAGTATCAGATGATGGTATACAATACTATTTATTTATTAACACACAACATCCCCCGGAGGGAATGAAAAGGGTTACAAATCAGATATCAGTAAATGAAAAATAAGTACATAAAAAGTAACGAAACAAAAAGCATAAAGAAAAAAAAATGATACAAAATTGTATACACGGAATGTGTTACTGGCTTAGTTTATGTAGGTGCTGCTGTCTTGTATTAAAACAGTTTTTTAAATATTGTGCTAAAGGAATTGACATTTTCTCGTCACTTAGTAATGATATGGTATAGAGGTCATTGTGCATACGCTATGAATACGCTATTGAATGTACATAATGCAGTAGTCAGTATAAACTCAGACCCTTCCCACCTTGGGGTAGTGGGGACAAGAAAAATCATAAGAAAATGCCCCACCCCAAAAATTTATTTCTAGTCCTCAGATGTTTGTTTTTTCATACAATTTTACATTATTTTGGTAAAAAGCCTCTCAAAAAAGTTTGATTACATGTACCTGATGCTAATTAGAAAATTATTAATTATTCTTGTTGGTAATTGAATTCGTTGTTGTTGTTAAAATTTCAGGCCCAGAAAGACTTTGATGATCGCAGAAAAATGGTAATGAAATCAAGTGTTCAGCTTGAAAATCTTCAGGCAGAACTTAAAACAATTCGTGGGAGATTAGATAGGGTACCTCGAGAAGACAACAGATACCTGACTCTAGCAACAGAAGAACACAATTTACTTCAAATAGAAAAACAGTTGAAAGACTGCCATAAAAAAAGCATAGAGGAGGAAAGAGATTGTTTTGACTCGCTCTCAGCAGCTGTTCGAGAAAGTCATGATAAAGAACGGGCAAGGGCTGAACGTACAAAATACTGGTCTATTATTGGTTCTGTGACGGGTACGGTTATTGGAGTACTGGGATCATCGTTAATCACAAGGTACAGAATGAAAGAAATTCGAACGTTACTCGAAGAAGCAAAAGAAACTGCACAAACTAAGCAAATGACTGATGCGGTCAGTGCTGCCGTGTCTTCAACACCCACCTCGAGTTCGGCAGAAATTTCAAATGAAGACCTGGAGAGGCTGGGAAAGCAGTTACAAGAAATGCAGGGTTACACGGAAGAGCTGAGATCAGTTGTGTCTCGTAATGATTTCGGCAAACTCTCTCTTGCTGTTGAAGGAATTACTAAGAAACAGGAAGAAGGATTTGGCAATATGGAGAATAATTTAGAAAAATTGTTTGCTGGTCAGGAAAAGAACTTGTCAGATGAATTGAAGGGAATTAAGAATCTTCTCTCCAAACCAGTAGTGGACATAACGGGATCTGGCACTGTTAGATCCAACGTTATGCAGGATTTATTGGATGATACTGAACAGAAATTAGAGTGGCAAATGAAAATGAGTACTTTATCCACAGTTGTATTCATATATGGTGCTTTTGCGCTTACTTTACCAATTCTTTACAGTATCTTCAAATGAAATAAACATGTTAGGCTTAACAATAATTGTTTCTAGTTCTGAGATTTTAAAATGTTTTCTTTGTTTTTGTGTGTTTTTTTTTTCTGCTCCATTTTGGTATTTTCATGTCATTGCAGTGTTGAAGCAGCATAAGGTCTCACAACATGATGATTCACTGATGATAATTGTCCTGGGTCATGTTCACTGATGATAATTGTCCTGGGTCATGTTCACTGATGATAATTGTCCTGGGTCATGTTCACTCATGATAATTGTCCTGGGTCATGTTCACTCATGATAATTGTCCTGGGTCATGTTCACTCATGATAATTGTCATGGGTCATGTTCACTCATGATAATTGCCCTGGGTCATGTTCACTGATGATAATTGTCCTGGGTCATGTTCACTCATGATAATTGCCCTGGGTCATGTTCACTGATGATAATTGTCCTGGGTCATGTTCACTCTTGATAATTGTCCTGGGTCATGTTCATTGTCGATAATTGTCATTGGTCATGTTCACTCATGATAATTGTCCTGGGTCATGTTCACTGATGATAATTGTCCTGGGTCATGTTCACTCATGATAATTGTCCTGGGTCATGTTCACTGATGATAATTGTCCTGGGTCATGTTCACTCATGATAATTGTCCTGGGTCATGTTCACTCATGATAATTGTCCTGGGTCATGTTCACTCATGATAATTGTCCTGGGTCATGTTAACTCATGATAATTGTCCTGGGTCAAGTTCACTCATGATAATTGTCCTGGGTCATGTTCACTGATGATAATTGTCCTGGGTCATGTTCACTCATGATAATTGCCCTGGGTCATGTTCACTGATGATAATTGTCCTGGGTCATGTTCACTCATGATAATTGTCCTGGGTCATGTTCACTCATGATAATTGTCCTGGGTCATGTTCACTCATGATAATTGTCCTGGGTCATGTTAACTCATGATAATTGTCCTAGGTCATGTTCACTCATGATAATTGTCCTGGGTCATGTTCATTGTCGATAATTGTCATTGGTCATGTTCACTCATGATAATTGTCCTGGGTCATGTTCACTCATGATAATTGTCATGGGTCATGTTCACTCATGATAATTGTCCTGGGTCATGTTCACTGAAAATAATTGTCCTGGGTCATGTTCATTGTCGATAATTGTCCTGGGTCATGTTCACTCATGATAATTGTCCTGGGTCATGTTCACTCATGATAATTGTCCTGGGTCATGTTCACTCATGATAATTGCCCTGGGTCATGTTCACTGATGATGATTGTCCTGGGTCATATTCACTGAAAATAATTGTCCTGGGTCATGTTCATTGTCGATAATTGTCATGGGTCATGTTCACTCATGATAATTGCCCTGGGTCATGTTCACTGATGATGATTGTCCTGGGTCATATTCACTGAAAATAATTGTCCTGGGTCATGCTCACTGATAATCTTCGTCTGGGATCCATTGCATATATGGTATTACTTAATTAGTCAATGATTGGTAAACTAGTTTATATGTAAATGAAATAGCAACATCATCAATGACTATTACTATGTTAAGCCAGTGTGTGTGATAATACTGTCTACTCAATGGCTATGGTAAACCAGTGTGTATGTAATAACACTATATTCAATAACTATGGTGGACCAGTGTGTGTGTAATGACACTGTCTACTCAATGACTATAGTAGGCTAGCTTGTGATGTGCAATAGGATAAATATTGTTGAGTAAGTTACAATTACTGCACACAAGAGTGCAAGCCCACGTGGCATTCTACAATCTGCAATATAAGTAGATGTTGTGCTGTGTGGATTGCATTCATCAGTGCAGCTTTACATTTTACTATGAATTATAAGCAATATTTATGTTTTGACATCAATGGTAGACTTGCTTGGGGTTTATGGGCTGAACACAAATCTGTAAGAAAAATAAATGGTAGGCTAAATGATCCTTGTTGATGTGATGTAAATGAGCAATGCGGTGTATCTGACCAATGTTGTAGTGTAAATGAAAGTTTGATGTGTAAATGAACAATGTGGTGTAAGTGGTCAATGTTGTAGTGTAAATGAAAGTGTGATGTGTAAATGAACAATGTGGTGTATATGAAGTGTGATGTGTAAATGAGCAATGTAATGTAAGTGACCAATGATGTAGTGTAAATGAAGTGTGATGTGTAAATGAACAATGTGGTGTAAGTGAAGTGTGATGTGTAAATGAACAACGTGGTGTAAGTGGTCAATGTAGTGTAAATGAAGCGTGATGTGTAAATGAGTAATGTGGTGTAAGTGGTCAATGTAGTGTAAATGAAGTGTGATGTGTAAATGAGCAATGTGGTGTAAGTGGTCAATGTTGTAGTGTAAATGAAGTGCAATGTGCAAATGAGCAATTTGTAAGTGATCAATGTTGTAGTGTAAATGAACAATGTGGTGTAAGTGGTCAATGTTGTAGTGTAAATGAAGTGTGATGTGTAAATGAACGAAGTGGTGTAAGTGATCAATGTTGTAGTGTAAATGAAGTGTGATGTGTAAATGAGCAATGTTGTAGTGTAAATGAAAGTGTGACGTGTAAATGAACAATTTGGTGTAAGTGGTCAATGTTGTAGTGTGAATGAAGTGTGATGTGTAAATGAGCAATGCGGTGTATAAAAATATACCACCACATCCAATGAATGCACAAAGACATGTAATGAATAATGGTGTGTTAGAGGGGGACATTTAAGGAATAATACCCAAAGCTATGCAGGTAATATTAAAAAAAAACTTATTTGTTTTGTATCTTTTCAATCTGAATTCTCAAACTATTAGTCTTGTTGATTATTCTCTTTGGACCCCATACTTTTTTCAATTCATGCAACATTTTGCAAATATTTATGTATTTTTCTATAATTTATTTTAAACCATATTGACATAATTTATCATTGGCTACAGGTCTTAGCCAACATTTTATAGAATGTATGGAATTTTACAGTTTTATTTTAATGAAAAGATTGCAAATGCCATGACTGTGTAAATCCTCTAATTTCACTTCTCATTTATGCATTGAATAATATGATTCAATGACGGTATAAATAATGCTAGCTGAACAATCTAAGATCAATACACTGGTCGCCATTTTGTTTTTAATGTCCATTTGAATGTGAAATATGTATTAATCATTTTTATGTATCTTATTTTTTTTAAATCTGGTTATTTTCCACTCACAGCAAAATCGTGCAATAAAATCAAGTGTGAAAACAGGACAACCGAAGGTCATAGCATCATAGTGGTGTTAAAACATTGTGTGGAGTTTGACAAAAGAAAAAGTTTGTTGAGGGGTATTTCATGTTTATTATTGTGCTATACACATTTTATGATTGTCAGTTATGATAGTGAGGATATCCTCATACCATGTTACCCTCTGCAAGATTGGTGTTTCAACATTGACCTATAAAAAAGAAATTCAAGTTTAAAATAAGATCAGTTTATTTTTTCAGCAGGTCTGCATCTTTCATGCATAATGGTGACATCTCGTAGAAGTATCGAAAATCATCTATTCGATCAATTTTCGGCAGCAGGACTGATATATGTAAATTCAGTTGGTCTTCCCTCGTCAATGTCTTTCCATTTAAAAAAAAATCAGTAAACACAACAAAGTATACAACTTGCCAGTGTTTGTTGGGTTAATTTATGTCTTCCATACTTAGTCACAGTACATAGTAAGTAGTTTCTACACACACATACTCAGTCATAGCCATAATTTATGTTTGTTGTTATGAAAGTATATTTACAAAAAAAAAAGTTATTCATGCATTATCCGTGACTTCCATTAACCTTCAGTATATATTCATGTGTTGAAGTGCCAATAAAACCTGTAATATTTATTATTGCTGAAGGGTCATTATTTGACTACTTCCTTAGTAATACACTGGAAAATCTTGCTTGTTTCAACATCTCAGATATTTCTTGTAGTTTAAGTTCAATTGCAATATTTAAAACTATTTACATTTGTGTTAGAGGTTATTCCATAACAATCCCTGTTATATTACGTCCTACATAGACTAGGATAACACATGGTTGTTGTGTAATATGTGTTGTGGGACAAGTTGATTATTTTCTTCCGAACTAAAGGCATACTATGAATAACATGCAAGCTCTTTAATAGTCATAAGTTCATGTAACACTATATTCATAGTTGCCAAGGGGAACAGTGATAATTTATATGCTTATTTAAAAAAAAGAAATTAGATTTTGTTTAGAACTGATTATAATGTTCAGTATAGTATTTCATTAATCAATTTGGAAAGTGCATAAATTGTCTCAAATAAAATAGCTACCGTATATCAGTATGTTGATTGTGTTTTAGATGCATTTACGAAAACTGGATGAATGTGGGTAAATGTATTAACTAATGTTTTCAAGCGATATGATTGTTTGCATGTTCAAATTACAACTTTACAACCAAAATATATATTGCATAAAGGTTTTCAGCAAACATACTTTAAAGGGCGGTGGTTGTCACGCAGCTCGTGTTCAAATTCCTTGTAACCAATCAATTTATTCAACCTGTGTTGTGTATATCCTAATGAGTCCCATATCGAACAGGATGCAGCGTAATTGAAACTCAAATGAAGCTGGACTTTGTCTGGCAACTATGCGTTCATATTCGGTAACATCGATTTTGATGTAATCAGAGAAATTGCTACTACCATATATCGTATTAAGCGGAATAGGGACAACCACAATTTGTATGCAGATGCAAGCACTTTACTACAAATCAAACATTACAATAACTCGGTGTCGAGGGACTGTGAATAACTACCGGTATATCTAATAAAAGTGCAGTTATTGACGTGACATTACAGTGATACACGTAAATTTATTTGTATTGTTTGACTAGTTTTATATCACATATTTGATATTATGAATATTCGCAAACTGCATTTTAAATGATTTTCAATTTATCTGTATTCAATGTTTTTCAATACTTGCTAATTCCTTTGAATCACAAATCAAATATACAAGTTGGTGCAGG